AAAAAAAAGTTACTTGTTAGAGTGGCTCTTGGTCTATTCTCCTTGTAATTGTCATCATTTTATGGAGAAGAAAAATCGTTCCAAATACTGTTGTATACATGAAGAACATTCTTCTATGCACATTTTACACATATATAATTTTTTTTTTTTGTGATTTGATAAACAGCATCTAAAAATCTAGTATATTCAGTTCTCTAGACAAGCTGTTGTGTGTATGTGTGTGTGTTCTTTTCTAAATATTGTGTCCTTTACATTTTTTTTGCATTGCTAACATCATACTTTATTCATTATGTTTTTAACTTGCATGAAAATAATAAGATGATAAATCAATCGAATATTTTTACGAAAAACAAATTAAAAGCAAATATTTGTCTATCATTGTAGATAAAGTTTCACTTTTTCAGTAAATTTTTTGCTTTTTTACTATACCTTATTATTTGTACGTTGCATATTTTGTGAGTTGATTTTTTTCCTTGATCATCAATGAATTTTTCGATATGTGTGTATGTTCGTTTATTTTATTTTTTTGTTGATCTTATTTGAATTGACTATAAATTACGTTAACAACTTAGTAGAGCCACCGCTATTGATAGTAAATTTACAGTATACTCAAATCAATTGCATAATAGTTCATCCTACTTTTTTCATATATTTTTATATAACATCTATATAAAGCACCTTTCCTCATTGATTTCAAGCAGTGGTTGAGTTCAAAAAATGAGCTAAAATAAATAATTTTAGGAAGAAGTATATCTTTTTTTTTAAATAATAACATCGAAAAATTAAAAAAAGGATGCAACCAAAAAGAAACGTTAAGCAATTTCTTTAGAATAAAAATCATTTTAATTGCATCCGAATTTTCCTTTCTTTTTTCATTCCATAGTAATCTTATAATTGTGTGTTTTTTTGTACATTTAAAATAGTATGCAGTTTGATATGTATCTGTTTCCGTTGCATCAACATGATATGTATTCGGTTTTAAAAATAATTGCAGATTTATGTTTCCCTTTATTTATATTCATCATCTCTTGTAAATATTATTGTTATTATTATTCTTCTTTTTTTTTGGTTGTGAAACACATGTTACATTTTATATATATATATATGTATATTTTCATTAAAAATGAAATTTTCATTGAAAATAAAATGGTATCTGATCAATTTCGATGTCAAAAATGAACGCAACAAAGTCAATATGGCGTTATTCTATTTACACCACCCAGTGATCACTCAATTAATCAAGTCTTTGTTCTTCATTTCACTTCGATTTCAGCTGTGATAATCAATTAGAACCGGAGTGAGTATGTGTGATTTATAAGTGTTCTATTTGAGTTGAATAGCGAAATTATACGAAAAATGTACAAAATCAAAGAACTGAATATGTTTCGAAATCTGTTGTAAAACCGAAATGAATGTGCTTTAAATTTCATTTTTTTGTTCTAAAACTGGTTAAACGAAAAGCCGCTTTAGAAATTTGTATTTCCTTCTGTCGTCGGTGGCAATGCGGCAACTCTCTTTTTCACATCTTCAACAATTTTTCGATTACGTTCGGCCTCTGCAGCTGGTAGATCATCATCTATTTCCATAGCCGGATTGATACGGCCATTCATTTCATCTTTTCCAACCATTGTTGCGGCACCGTAAATCTTTGCCATGGGACCAGCCATGACATGTAACTATGAGAAAACGTGATTACTCAATCAGTTTTTCTTTGTCAAAAACGAATTATCTAAATTTCACTTACTTGTTCGCCCACTTCGGATGGATCACCAACACGAATTGCATCGTCTGGAATATTGACGACGCATCTAAAATAATCATATTGTGGTGCAAGTCGACCGGTTTCAAAAATGAATTTTGTGTAATACGAAACACCATAAAGCGTGATTAAACTCAATAGCATGGCCAATGTACGGAATGGAAATAGTTGTTCTTGGGCATCTTCATCATATCCAGGATATTCGATAAATGCTGGTATACCAATTTGACTTTCACCACCGGAGATACGAACCACCAAACCAACAATATAAGCCGCCAAACTTCCGTATGTGTTGCAGTGATTTTTGAAGTGAACAACCATCAACAACTGAAATGCAGAAAAAATGCAATATGATCATGTTGTTTTTCTTTGGCATGCGGAAAATCTCTCTGATTTGATATGAAAATACAAAATAAAAAAGTATAATATACCTGTGGAAATAGGATGCAATAAACTAAATCAGAGCACATAGACCTGTAATCATAAAAATCCGGATTTTGCATTGATTTATTTTTAGATAGCGAAGTTTTTTTTTTAATTGTTTGCTTACCATAGTCCATAAATTGATGGGATGGTTAATGCCATAACGGTAGCTAAAATGCCAACAACACAGATTCCAATTCGCATAACCCAGATGATTTCCATTTCGGATGCATTTTGACGAAAAATGAGTCGATACACGTTACGTGCAAACATTGAAGCCGCTGATAGAACAGACGAATCAGCTGATGACATAACAGCCGCTGAAACAGCGCCCAATCCAAAGAATGATACAAAGTCTGGCGTTAAAAATTGTAGTACCATTGGCAAAACCATACTTTGTTCTTTGGCTGTGAGAGGCCAAGGGCCGGTGTAACCAGTTTCATTCCATGCTACATACAGAATATTAAAATAACAAATAATTTTTTATTGAAAATAGAAAAAGAGACTGTGTAAGACAATTGCAGAAGGTACATACGTGTTGCCTTAGCAATGGCTCCAATCAAAACTGGTGGAATGGCCATTAGAATACAACCGAACGCAGCCACATACGATAGAATCTGTGCTCGTCCGGCCGTTTTACTTGACAGTACACGCTGGAAATACACTTGCCATGGAATTCCACCGAAAATGAGCAACAAACCGTTGTCAATATAATACCATTGTTGACGCGGATCAACTTCGCCAATCCAATCGACTTCCATGTCACTCAAACTTTTTACATGTTTATTTCCCCATGCAAATGGAATGCACATCCACAGACCGGCAAATATACAGAATAATTGAATCACATCTGTGTACGCAACCGAATACAAGCCACCAAACAATGTATAAAATACAGCTATCATCGCCGACAAAATAACCGATGAATTTTGATCCATGTCAATAATAACAGCAAGTGTGGCACCTTTTTCGTTCGTTCATTCGTTTATTTAGATTAAAAAAAAATTAATCAATTAGCATCGAACATTAAAATAAATCGTGGTGATCGAATTATTGTTTACCTAATGCAGCCAAGATGCCAGCCGCCCAAAACACTTCACCGCATAATGCTGGCAAAAATAGCAATCCACCCATACGTTCACCAAACAAATCCTGTAGCGGATCCAACATTGTGATGTAACCCTGTTTTCGCATTGGATTCGCAAAGAATATGCCACCAAAGACCAAACTTAATGCATAGCCAAATGGTGCTTGACACCAAACCAAACCTTTGGTATAAATTGCCTCAGCAGTACCGTTTATATAACCACCACCCACCCATGTGGCTAAACATTTTTGTTGAATGGAGAATAGATAAGACAAGAAAACAAACAATATAAGTCGATTTATTGGTCAATATCTCTATTGTTTGATTATCAATTATTTAATTTTACTACAGTACAAAGTATTATAAAATTTCTCAAGAAGATTCAAATCACATGAATTTTGAAGTGATTTTAAATTGACGAAATTCTTTTTGAATTTACCTGTCATCGTGAAAATGCCAACGAATAAACCGATCGAACGGCCAGCCAGCATAACCTCTTCTTCAGAATCATTTCCTTCTTCTTTTTTTCGACCAGCCCATATTCCAACCGCCAAAATGAGTAAATAAAATAGGACGATACTAACAACGCCAGCTAAGTTAATCATGTTTACGGCAGTTTTGTGAAGCTTTTTCTAGCCTCCTTATATGTTTCAATAAAATATGTTAGGGGTTAAATTGATATGTGCGCTCGAACACAAAGTCCAACGAAGGAAACTTTGTGTATATTTGTGTGTTTGGCAGCTCTATTGTTGCAATCGTCGGAAATCTGAAAATATATCAAAGCGAAGAAAAATGTCAGAGAAACTTTGTATTAAATTGAAGTGGCACCATGAATGGCATAATTATGATGGATTGTACGCAGTAAATCTAATGAGGGAATGAAGCGAATAGTCTAAATGGCATTACTTCAATTACTTTGCTGTTCTACAACATTTCAACTATAAAATGTTGCACGTTCATTGCATTCACTTCATACATTCACATTGTCAGCAATAATATGTAATTTATTCATTTTTTTCAAATTCAGAATTGCATTTTAAATCAGCGTTTCAAAAAAAAAATCTACAAATCCCCAACATTTCACAACTCGAAACAAATTTTTGGTTCATGCACCTGTCCGTCCCACAAAGAGAAATATTAAAAAAAGCAGTGGAAGAGGAAGAAAAATGTGCGTTAGTTTTACAATGAAAGTTTTTTCATCGAAAAGTTTCTCCATTTCACTGTACGTGTCCGACATTAAAACGATGCTGACAGGAGCGTAGCTGTTTTGGAGTTTTCATGTAAATTAAATGAAAACAATGGGCAAGCAGCAAAAAATTAATTATAATGAATGACGGTAAAAACAAAACTGTAATTGTCACTTTAACATTTTTAAATGGAAGTGAACACAGCATAAACCGATATTTGAATAGTTGGTAATCGAAGTCTTTTTATTTTATTTTTTTCTTGCATGGTTCACTCTTAAATTCAATTTAAGAGCAAATTAATCCGAATGTCACTAATTTTTTAATTTAAAATTGTCTATCATTTCAATAAAATCTTCATTCTTTTCTACTACTCAACTTTAACAGCGATTTTTCAATCGTTGGAACGTTAGAGGAAGTACTGATATTGTACCATAGCCACTCCAAAAATGTGACTTGATTCGATTTTGTGAAAATGTTATCGAGTCAAATTCATCGTTTGCCATTCGAATGACATTTTGTCACCTCTTATTTTCAAAATGTGTGACTGACGTTGTTGTTGCTGTTGTTCATATGCAATCTTTGAATTGATTCAGCTCAATTTCATCGATTATTTTTCAATAATGAATTTAATGAACAATCCATTAAATTGGTCAATAAATTGAAGTCTTTGTCATTGAATTATTTGATCAACAAAAAGTAATTGAAATGTTTTTTTTCGGAAAAAGGAATTACTGCACACCAAATTGACAATCAATTTATTATTTCTTTTCTAAAAATAGGATCTTCATGAGCTATGACAATTTTTACGGTAATTTGGGTTTTTAGATTAATGAAAACTAATTCGATCGGAAGATTGTCACGAAAATGATAACTAATGGTTCCCAACAAACTAGCCAGCTTTTTTTTCTTCAAGTTTCTTAGATCGCCTCTCACATTAATAATATCTTACAATAAAAAAATTAAAATGTCTTACATCCGTAAGATGAACTTTTCCGCACTGTGATCCACAACATGCATTTATTACAAATCTTTTACTCAAAGAATTCACGAGAAAACTGAATCTGACATTAGTTTTACGATACAAATAATTTTCGAAGCACTATTCATACAAAAACTAATAAAATGGGAATTTTTGTATCGCAGCCATGCCTATATGATATCGTAATCATGTGAAAATTTGCAGAGGTTATTTTTTTCACAAAAAGTTAACATTCTGAAAGTTTGAAGAAATTTCAATACATATTAAGGGTACTTCCCATACGAAATTTCGTTTTTGAGCGAAAAATCCAAAATTTTGTTCGGGAGGTACCCCCAATATGCGTTGGAATGTCTTCAAACTCTCGGAATGGCATTTTTGTGTGATAAAAATAACCTGTGAAAAGTTTCAGCTCATTACGATATCATACAGGCATGGCTTCCATACATAAATTCAATTTTTTTGAAATTTTTGTATGAAAAGTGTGTCGAAAGTTATTTGTATCGCAAAACTAACGTCATATTCGGTTTTCTCGTACCCAAAAACCCCCCAATACACATTTTTGAGTGTTAAAGTATACATTAAACATCACTTTTGGAAGAAAAATTGAATTTTTCCCATGGATGGCCATGGGCATCACACCAGACATGACACTTCACTCTGTCAACCAAAGTCGCTCAAAATCTAATGGTTTCTATTCCTCGGCACCAGTCTATGTATTTCGGATGGATATCCATCCGAGATATTTTAGAATATCTGGATATTCAACGCAACTGCACAGCGCCAGAGCTGTGTGCGTCGCAAATAGAATCTACGGTATGTCGCGACGTATATGTGTATCAAGTGTCGCACGTACACAGTCACACTGTGTCTGTATTTTACGTGTAGCGACATACCGTAGATTATATGTGCGACGCACACAGCTCTGGCTCTGTGCAGTTGCGTTAAATATCCAGATATTCTAAAATATCTCGGATGGATATCCATCCGAAATACATAGACTGCTCGGCACCCATAATCATCCTGTGAAGTCAGATTTTGAATTACTTTTCTTGTTTGAAAGTTATCGCGTTAACAAATTTTTAGATTCGTGTTCCCTGGCCCCAAAAACACCCAGAAAACATGTTTTTTGAGGGTGTTAATTTTTCGACCGATTCCAATACTTTACCTTACACACTGCGGTGTGTGCGGAAAAGTAAAAATGTCGATTTGAATCTGCCAGCAATATCATTATATTAAATTATGTTTATTTTCGTCTGATACGCCATCGATTTCCACTTAATATGTTTGCGATCGACAACCTTCATTATCCAGCACAGAGAGTAGAAAACACTATCGCTATAGAAATACTATATGAACAGTGACAATAGGTACTTTTTGGACACACTTCGATTATGCGGCGACAACAATTTTTGTGAACAATCTAATTTAAATCATGGATTATTTGTAAAAGTCATACTGCTTTCAAAAATTGTCGAAATGTGTACAAATAGTAACTAATGATAGACTCTCTCTCTCTCTCTCTCTCTCTCTCCATCAACAATTATTTTGGCCGACGTTATGGAAACGAGTAACGTATGAAATAGTTTTCCAACGTCATCACCGTGATATATATCCTCTTCTTTGTCGTCAACGTCTTCTACGTCGATTGTTGTGTTGGTTGTTGTTGTTGTCGAATGACGTTCGTCCGACAAAGTGTTGACTTTGAGCGCGAACATTGTACAAAATGTTCGACAATTTGTGTAGAATCGCAGTCGATCCACCATTAATTTTGGAAAAAAATGAATATGTGACTGCATGCGGTCAAATTAAATGCAATTTGATATGGGGTTGAAATATGTTGTTATTTTTGGCAAATTTTCAGAATTTTTCGAATGAAGAGATGATGATATTAGAATGACCTGTGGAAGGTAGACATTTTATCCACCTCTATTCTTTTCGCTCGTTTTTTGGGTTTGAACATTGATTTTTTTATGGTAATTATAACATTTACATAGTGGTTGTGACCTCTTCATTGAATTCCATTCCACTCCACATTTTCATCGCACAATTTATTGTACATTTCGATCACTGTCTCGATTCAATGCTACGAGAATGAATAATTGACGAATGTGTTTATTTTTAAATAAGTAAATGTTAGAATAGAAGAACATGTTTGGAAACAGAGGAGAAAAGAAAATCAACAAAAAGCAGTGAGTGAAACATATTGGAAAGGATGAAAGAATCAAAACTGAAAATAACGAATTTTCCTTGTCACGCACAAAGGCATACCTTCAACTCTCATCGCCGACTATGTGTACATACACACACACCAACTCAGCAGTAGCAGTAGCGATAACATTTCCAGATATTGGTATCAACTTTTACATGCCACGGCTTTGTAATATTTAGGTATATTTGATGTACATAGGTGGATGTATATATGTGTCAGTGTCATTGTGCAAAATTGACAAAGCTCAACAACAACAACAACAGCAAAAACGAAAATCGTTGTGAATAATATATAAAAGACAAACGCATTAAATTTTCAAAATAAATCGTTTTGGTGGTAACAAAAAAAAACCGCTATTCATGTAGTAATAAAGCGAAATATGAAATAGATCTCAAATTCAGATTGTTGATTTTGCCATCATAAAAGGGCAAAGAAAATTATTTTGTAACATCATCAGAGTATGAGTGAACGAACGAACGATATGATGATATACATGTGTAACTATTGATTACAACATTTTGTACGAAGAGAAGAAGTGAGCCATGAGAGAGAGACCGAACATCGAAATTCTTGACACGAATATCGACGAATGCATTGGTTCATATTCAAGTACGCGTTTGTGGAGCGCGTTGCTTCTAATGTCATAGCGCCATCATTGCCACTGGAATTCGTTCTGTTGGAAAGAAAGCTTCTTGGACAGCCCATCCACATACAGATCACATTGATTTTTTTTATAGACAAAATGGACGTTGTTTATTCAGCTGATATTACGATACTCTTAGGAATGATTTAAAATTCTTATCGCAGCTTGTAAAAGCTTAATTAGGTTCATTAGAGGATCTCAAAATGTCCATAAATTTGCATGCTGAAAAATGTACACCATTTTGTCGGGGTGTCACAATTCGAGAAGAAGACGAAAAAAATTGAACATCTACGACCATCGTGTGAAAAGAAAATAAAGGATCCTCTGGCTTGTAATGGAAGTATGTAAAATTCAGTGATATGTATTGGTTTCGAAAATCTAACAGGCAACATGCGCAAAAGTGCCAACCGTTTTTCTTTCTCTCTCTTCATTTCTCGTAAGATAAAATTTGTGCATACATTTATCCATTTTCCATTCATTATTCAGCACGTAGTTATGCATTTTTTTGTTGGTCTAAATTAGTACTCGTCTAATAGAGTATGCGATTTAAGCGGATAAAACAGTTGTATTTGCGCTCTTCGATGCGATAGCCCATGTTGACTTGTTAACATTCAACTAAAAAGCTAAAAGAAAATATGGATAACACCACATACACGTACTTCACTCCGAAACCGATCGATTTGTATTTCTTTCACAGTAGAGAAACAATAACAACAACACCACCAACACGTATCCAAAAATGACAAGAATGATTGAATTCTCATAATTTCCAGTGATTATCCAGAGATAGATAGACAGCCAAATCTATATGCCAATGGCTTCGAATAATCAGTCTGAGAGACGAAATCATCGATTGATTGAATAATTGATGCGTGTGAAATGAAATTGAATTTTAGGTTTAGTTTTCGTTTCATTTCACACAGGCAAATTTGCGCCTCGATTAACTTCGTTCATTGCGTAATCACATAAAATGGAAACGAAAAACAACAACATAATACGTATATATACTTACCACGAATCGATTTGCAAAAGCTAAACACTACCACAGTTATACTTGGAAATTATGATTGTTTGAATTGAATTCTAGTATACGAGCTCCTTTACTTCTTCGGTCGCTTTTTTTAAGCAACATTCATTTTTAAATGACTTCAAAATTGTTTTATTTTTACTATGGATGATTGGGATTATATAATCCCCGTTTTTTGAATAGTTGAGGAGTGAATGAGAGTTTTATTCGAATTTCACGTACAGAGTTTTTTTTCTGTTGTTGATTTTAGAATCTTGGAAACTGAACACTTTGCGCAAATTAGAACACAATCACTTTTCACGTGTATAAATAAGCATTTCCAAAAAAATGTAATTTCAATTGAGTGTTCCTTTCTGATTTGATGATCGCGAGTCAAATAGTTGAATTCCAGTAGAAGGGAAAAGAGTATTGAAACAAACAAGGATTTCGAATACGGTTTTTTTGTATTCTTTTGTTAGATCTTCGAATCGTACTTAATTTATAGATGATTTGGCTCAACCTTTTTGCCTCGATCGAGCGACTTGTACTGGATTTGATGTTAAAATCGTTGCTACTTAAGCAAAACTTGTGTTTGTTATTGATTTGAATAAATTCGTTGATGTTTGGTGGATTGCAACCAATTGATTAGCGATTTGTAATAGACATCAATGATTGGTGTTACAGATGAAACAGCTATCTCCCCAACGCAAGGATGTTTTTTGTGAGGGACTGTTTCTTGTCCTAAAATGTAACCGACACATGTGCGTTTGCTAAGCGCTTAGCTTGAAAGTGGCTTCTTTCAAGCATTTAAACCGATACTCAAATTAATTATTATCACTGAAAAGAAAATCGGACACACAACAATTCGTTTCGATTGTTGTTTGGCGGCAAATTTCACCACCAAAATAACTCGATTGATTTTAAATTAAGATGGAATTTTCTTCAATTTGAATGCTTTTTCAATGAACATGGAATTTTTTTTATTTATTTGATGTTGTTTATATTTTTTTTTTATTTCTTATGAAGAACAAACTCAAAATCGGCTGAATTTTTAAGTTCAATCAATTTATATAGATTTTTTGAAGCTTTGACAGTTCTATTGTTGTAGCATTTCTCTTTTTTTTTGTAAAGCAATTGTCGTTTATTTTTGGTTTTTTTTTTATAAATACAATTTTCGATACTTTTTGAATAATTCAACTGTATTTGGTTTTTGGTAGGAATACGCGCCTTTGGTCGAGGACCTAGCTGCGTTAGAGGTGAAAATGAGACTAAAAGCGAACGAAAAGCGTTTTTCCATGTTGCACACATACATTTACGGTACGTGCACAATGTGTTGGTCTCGCTTTCCTTGTGGAAGTGTACATGTGTGTGGGCACAAGGGGAAATATTGATCCGAAAAATGATTGTGACGTAAAAGCATTTCTATTGGTCTGATAGAATGGTATGGTAGCCATAATGGTGTATATACAATAAAACTCCCACTTTCGATGAACAGATTTAAAAGAGAAAATGGAAAATGCTAACAGCAAAAGTGAACAAGTCACCGAAAAAAGGGAACGTTGAACATGTGTGTATATCGTCGAACTTACGATTTTTCGATGGAAAACAGAAACCGCACATCCGAAATAAAATGAAACGAAAAGTAAAAATGAAGAAATCATCGGTTTTGATTATACACAAACAATTCAATCGAACAACCGTTGTTTGTCAATGAACACACATACACTCATACCGATGAGAACGTTTCTGAGGTCGTTGCTTACAATGAAACAATATTATTTGCAATTTGATTTGTTTGCTTCTTTTTTTATACAGTGTCCATAGTATACATTTTGTATATGTATGGACTTTGGCTGAATCGTGATGAATCGAACAGACAAAGCTCATACTCATCGTATATAAGGAATTAATGTATTTAGGAAAAGCTACATTTTTTTTCTCAACGAGGCTCAATCCCAAAGTTATTATGCGAGAAAAAATCAGAACACAAAAACACGAACATATAATAATTTCACTTTCTGCTCCTGTATCGATTCGCTGAAATATTCCATTCAAACCGAAAAGCGGTTATCTGATCATAATCTGCGGTCGTTCTGTGTTCGGATTTGCTACAATTTTTTTCCCTAGTTTACACGAACATTCATTTTGTGTATCGTTGAGGCACTCATTTGAACCATTCTGCCCTTATTTGTTATGCGTGAAAGTAGAATCCTTAGCATATTAATTATATATTTTCTTTCTTTTTTTTGTTTTGTTTTTATTTCTTTTCTTAATTTAGTATAACATCAAATCGAGTAAAAACGATTTACAACGAACACAACGGGCTTACTTAGAATTAAGAGATGCTTAATAGCCGTATTTTGAATTAAGGTCTGTAATTCCATCTCCGCTCTGATTTGATGGCGGTACCCATCCTGAATATTTTTGTGGTGATTTATCTTCTTCAGTATCATCGATATCAATTTGGTGACGTACTTTATTGCGATTTCGATTTTTGCTTTTATTTTTCGTGGCCGCACTCACTTCAGTATTACTTTTCTCCGTGGTTTCTTCGGTTGATTGACTGGATGCAATTGTGTCGGTATTAGTTTTGGGTGTTGTTAATTTTTTCTCGCTCACTAATTGAGGTTGCTGCTCTTTCGTTTTGACTCTATCTTTTGTTTCCACATTCTCTTTAGAAGAACTATCACTAGATTCGTTTATTTGTTCATCACAGCGCTCTGTTACTTTTGGTGTTTCCATCATCACGGCACCTTTATTGGATACCGTTTCATTCACACTTTCAGTGTTTGATTTGGACTTTGTAGCTTCTTCATCGTCATCATCAAACTCCTCAATCGATTCATTCGGATCGATTTTCGTGTCATTTGATTCTGTTGATTTAGTAGCTTGTTTTAACTTATCGAAACCAAAAGTTTTCTTTTTGCCGAATAATGGTAACTCAAATTTCTTTTTTATTTGACCATCGGCTTTGGTTTCAACTCTTTTCAACGGCGGCAGCTCAAATGGTCGCGCTATATTTATGAGTTTCTTCACCTTTTGTATGTCAGCTTTTATTCGCTGCAGTTCAAACTGAAGAAAAAAAACCAAAAATTTAAATAAATAAACTTGCTTTTAACAACGCAAATAACTTACTCTGCATTTTCGAACTTCAGCTTTGTCCATTTTCTTTTCACTTGATAATCCGGACATGAAATCATCCAAATCAACATCCATTGCATCATTTTGTTTTGATACTTTTTCCATTTGTTGATATCGTTCGATTCGCTTTTCAGTTTCCGTCAATTGTGATTGTAGTTTTATTTCTTCCTCCAACTAAAATTAGAATTAAAGTTAAAATTTTAATCTTCAAAAAAAAAAAAAAAAAAAAAAAATAGAATCACCAACCAGTTGTTCGTATGATAGTGTGACATTCTCTTCAGTACCAGCTTTGCGACGGCGTTTTTCTTCGGCTTCGACCGTTCGATCATAGAATTCATCGTCATCGTCGTCCGACGATTCGACCTTTCGTTTTCTCGGCTCATGGTTGGCTTGTCTCAACAAACCATTTCGATCAAGAATTCGGCATGCTTCCAAGGCACACTGTACAACACAGTCTTTCTTTTTCCCTTTATGTGTGAATTCAGCCATAATGCTGCGGCCAATTGAATCTGTGATTGGTAGTTCAATCCTAAAATATTGTCAAGGTAAAATGTTAAAATGTCATTCAATTCGCTTGGATATAAAAAAAATATATGTACCAACTTACCGACATGTATATGTGCCATTCGCTACATCCTCAACTTTATAATCTAAATTGAGACCTTCACGTTCGAAAAATCCGCGCAATGTCTTTTTTGGATCTTGTAAAAATAAATCTTCATTATTACTAGCTGCAAATGGATTGATCGATAGGTCAGTTTCCTCTTCAGCATCTTCGCCCATTCCCCAGCTAATGCCTTCCTCTTCTTTTCGCTTTTCTTCTTCTTCCAATTTTTGTTTTTCCTCCAGTATTTTCTTCAGTTTAAGTTCTTTCATTTCGGTTATTGTTAGCTCTGATTCGGCCTCTTCATCGAAACCGGGCCCTTGTAGAATGTAACTTCTTGTGCTTGCACCAAATTTCAGCATATAACCCACACGAATGCGTACATACGTTTTTGGCGGTACTTTCATTTTATTTATAAATGTTCCATGTGTACTGTTCAAATCGTATAAATACCATCCTTTTTCAATTGTTGATTTTTGTGTCGTCGATTCGGAATTTGAATTTCCATCGAAATCGGTGTCGCCGGTGCCATCATCGGGTCGGTATTGCAACACAGCATGATACCTTGAAATTGTTGGATGTGCCATCACAATATTGTTATCGGGTAGTTTGCCGATTGTCCAAAATGGTTTGTTCTGTAAACTTTTTATTTCTTCCACAATTTGACCACCCTTTAACACCTCAAAACTGTATGGTAAATTTGTGTCTGGTGGTTGTGACCACTTTGGCTCCACATACGGGCATTTTGTTTCTTTTACCACATCGGATTCAATTTTGACAACCTCTGGTTCATTTACCACAGACGATGGTGGAATTAAATCCTCTTTTAATTCGTCAGCATCTGGTATCGTTTTCTTAGCGGTCACTTTAAATTTTGGCTCAAAAGTTGGAATCTTAAATTCGTTATCCATTATGAAAATGTTGTGAATTACCAATCAAACGTCTTCAAATGTTTACGCTATTACGTTTTAAGTTGTTTGTGGTTGTGTTGTTTTCCATCAACATTAAGGTTATGTTTCAACTTCGAATTGAACTCATCAATTTTTGTTTTGAAAAGTGAATTTAAAAATTGTAAACAGAAAATGTGATAAACACATGAAAAATATTTGATAAAATAAACATTAATTTATGAAATTCTTTTTATCCAATTTTCATTTGAAATAAAATTAAAAATACAATTTTAGTACTGATCATCGATGGGAACGAGACATTAAGTTGAATCGTTTTGAAACAGTTGGAAATGTCAAAAGTGTTGACATTACCCGCAGTAACTAACTATCGCGTCATCTTTTAGTTTTACCAGAGGTGAATTGTGTAGCGTCTATTTCGTGTGCCTATTATCATTCACTCATTCATTCGTCGTCTGTGCGTGTGTAAGAAACACTTCAAAAAAAAAAAATACATATATATATTAAAAGAAAAGAATATATATAAATAAACTGTACCAAAAGTTTTTTTTGTGGAAAAATAAATCAATTAACTAACAAAAGAATTTTGTTAAACAACACTTCATAGACAAGAATTAGTTAAAACTTTAGTTTTTGTGGTTAAATACATATTTAGTTAAAAGCAAACGCAAACGCAAAAATTAAAAATGGCAAACAATCAAGACTTGCAAGAAGATTTTTCACAAGATGTGAAAGACGATCAACACTTTAATGGTGATGAAGCCGGTGAAAATGGAACAGATAATGGCACAGAAAATGGAAATGAAAATGGGAACGATGGGGCCCAGCTAAATGAAAATGAACAAGGGCAACAAGGCGGCGAAGCTGCATCAGGACGCGATGACGACAGGTTAGTTGACTTTTTTCCATTCATTTTTTACACCGATGGGAACAAGAATTGCAATTTCCGCAAAATAGCAACGAAAAAAAAAATCAAAATTTTTTTTTCTTTAGATTAGAATTAACGTAGTTTGCAAGAAATTAAAAATTTTGTGTGAGAAATTTAAAAGAAAAGAGAGATTTTATTAGTTTTAATTGTCATTGAGAAATACAGATAAAGATATATAATATAGAGAGAGAAAAAAACCCACAGCGTAATGGCGTCGTCTGTACGATTCATTCAGTTAAATCTGGTGTTTTTCTATTCGATCCAAAAGAAATCGAATATCATCCACAGCTAGGAATAAATTTTCTGCATAGTTTTTCAGTAAAATACCTAGTTCATTGATTTCTTTTATCGATTTTGTTAACCGATTTCGGAAAAATTGAATTTTTTTTAATAATTTTTTTACGTGCATAAAAAACAAAAAATTCAATGTACATTTGCTGTTCCATGACGGTCGAAAATTGAAATCGTAGATTTTTGTTCGGTAATAACTTTATCCATCTCTTTTACGCGCATGCAGCTATCATGTATGTGTGTGCTATATATATGTATATATGCACATAGAGTATAGCGGCAATCAAGTGCTTTAGAACTGAAACGAAAATGTTACTGAGCCAAAATGGCGTCGAGTTTGTGGATTCGTTACAACACATAGTATATATAATATAATATTGTACCGACACAACTCAAAACAACAAACATTTATACGATTTTACTGTTTTTTTTTCCTTAAAACTGTTTCTGTTTATTTCAAATCCGCTGTAAATTTTTTGTATGGAAGCGGCATTTATACCAAATCGCAATTTCGCCGACGAAACAAAAAATGCTTGAAATGTTTGGCTTGTTGTTTTTGACAGTTTCATTTACATTCAATATATATAATCTACATATACATTGATTTTTTTTAACAAAATACGTTCAATTACACGTTCATTTTCGTACATTGAAACGAGGAGAGAAAATAGCATCGCAATAGAATGAAATATGGACAAATTTTGTGTGGAAATTTCCATTGGTGTGAGAGGTAATGCGATGTGCAAATGGAAATAGAAAATGCGAAATATATTTGTGGACTTTTCTCTGAACTTCGGCCTCTCGCATTATTTGGATTTTATTTGGTGTGTTCTTTTGTTTTTCGTTCTATTTGCTTTTTCCTACCATAAATTTGCATTTGCTTCAAATTCTCTTTTTTTTCATTGCTAATTAGTCTATTTCTCTTTGTAGATTCAAAATTGTTTTGTCAAAAGTCGTTTTTAATTTATTCGTGAGTTAAAATAAGAGAAAATATTTCTGGTATCGTCCATGTTTACCGGCACATATGGCAATAAATCTGTCGGTTCCTTCTATCTCTTTCTGCCTTTTGTCTCCGTAGATTAGTTCACCAATACATGCTTGTGATGATTTCCTCTTTTATTTTATTTCAATGTGGTGTCGATGTCTCTCTTTCTCTCTCTCTCTTTCTCTACCTGAAAAAAAAGTGTAAGCATACGGTGATGTCATCTATGCACACTACTACAACGGTCAACAATCTATTATTCAAATGTGTATGTGTATATGTACGAGTATATATATATATATATGCTAACTGCAAATTCAGCATACAAAGGTAGCCATGTTGTGTATTTTTCAATCGCGCGTGCAAATTTCTGCTACCGGCTCACTTCTTATTCTCATTTCATTCTCTATCTTGTTTCAAATTTACGTCGCACTAATGTGCTCCTTTTATTTAATCATGAGATCCATTTTGATTTAGATTTTGCAACCGATAACCTTTCGGTGACTAGTTTTATGCGAATTAGTCATACGATGTGATACGCACGCAACTTTCCCAATTTCATCGTGCATTCGAAGATGGAATTTTCACCTCTATGTTTTGCTTAAATCCAAAATCCTTATTTACAACCTTAAGACAAAGCAAATACCATTCCTTGTGTCCTTCGATTTTTTCGTCCGATGCTATCCCGTTTTTTTGCGTTCCTTCGTTTGTATATTGATTTTGAATTTGAATCTCACGTTGAATCGATTTTTAAAATTTACTCTCTATCGATCTCTGTGTTTATTCTTATTTTTTTTGTGCTTGTTTGTGCCCCATTTGATGTAATTATTGTGCTGCATTGTCGACGTACACAATTTTTTTTTCGCGAACATTTTAGTTTTTAAGATGATTTGTTGATTCACACACAAAAAAAAAATATTAAAAATTTTTATAAAACAAATCAATTCGTTTGGCGCCAAACATTTTAAGCATTTGAATTTCAGGTGATTCGAACCAACAACTGTTTGCACTAATTAATTTTAATCTTACATAAATTTAGCTATTTTTAAGGCAAACTTCTGTGAATTTAAATTTAGTCATTTGAACATAGTTTTGTATCGCTTTGAACGACAAAAAAACACATCACATTTTCAGTCCGAAATGATTTTTGATATGTTTGTGACCATTTGGTTCTACATACGGCACATGTTAAGTATATTAAACTGGACTTTCTTATTTATTTCGTTTTTTTTTTCTTTGTAAAATTTATCGATACAACTCAATTGTTCGGTACACCTTGAAACAAAGAGATCGGAAAATCACATTTGACGCTATCTACAAAATGTTGTTCATTGTTTTTTATACACATGAATTTCGTAGAATTGCATAAAATTTGAAGAAAAAAAAAATCGTTCGTTTTAGTGTTACTATTTGTATATTGAATTTGATGCGATATCAAATGAAGTGTGATTCCAGAGAGCCGATATAAAGATTTGAAAAATTCTAACGTAAAACAGAAGACTTTATTTGCAGTTATAAACAACATCGTAATATCCTTCGATATCTTCTTTTTTGTTTTTGTATTTCTTTTAAAAAATGAATATTAATTTTTTCTTGATTTTAGATCGTTGATGATATTTGTCACTCAAATTATTGATATTCACGTGTTGAAACAGTTTTTTTTTTGCTCGTCAATCAAATAAGTTAAATAATTCGAAGTAAAAGAAAATCATCCATTTTGATACGTAATCCACAAATATCCAAGTGCAACATAACTCCGATTCCGAGTAATAAACTATTAAACGAAAAATAAAAACAAAATCAGTACACACAAAACTCGATAGACAGAAATAAAAAGAAAAAGACCATATACACAAAAGTACGTAAATTTTTTCAACGCTGGATGAAATGATAAACACGAACTTAATCAAACAAATTAAAATCTAAATGATCGAGAATAAAAAAAAAACAATATACCGAAACGAATCGACACATTTAACAGTTGAACATGGGTTTGTTATTTTCGTTGATATGATTTTTGTAATGAACCAGGGCATTTTACAAAAAAAAAAAAGAAAATTAAGAACGAAAAAAAATCAAATTACATTAATCTAGAAAACGTTACATTAGGTTCCTGTTGAGATTAGAGTGAACTAATCTTGTTCCTCTCCGGCAGGTTGTTGTGATTGAATTCTTCTGGATACAGGCAGATACGCAAACCATACTGAAGGCATCACACCAGGCATGAAATGAAGCGCATTTATCACCAAAATCAGCGTTAAGTATCGTGTCCGACGAAATCTCACTCACACACAAAACACACAAATACGCGCGCAACCCAATACAAAACCAAACCGAAAAACCGCCAAAAAACCCCCTTCACAGACACACACAAACACAAAAACACAGTCGTTCACCTGAACAGTGAACACTGTTGCCAATTTATCGAAACCGAAACCGAAAGCGAAACACGTGTGTGTGTTTGTGTGTGTGTGCGCCGTTCTGCGATACCGAAGCACGCGCGTTCAGACACAATTATCTGGCCCCAAGGTGCCGTCGCAATAAACAATGGCAAAAATCGTTGAACATTGAGCGAGACGCAAGCAACAGATGGTATATTTTGATAAAAATATAAAAAAAAATCAATCTAAAAAAACAAATCAAAAAAATACACAAATATTCAAAATATAATCGAATTGATGTACGGTGGATCGTTATGGTATTGCTTCTTCCAAAATCGTGTTGAGCTGAACGTTTAAAGAAAAAAATTGCGAGACGATGTAGCTATGTAATTTTTTTGGATATTGTTTAAAGCGTGATATATCAATAATAATTTCAACGGTTCAAACTTTGCAATTGATTTGTTCGATACAAAAGCCAAATCTTGAGTATTTTTTGCATATATTAAATTTAACGATGAAATTTAAAAAAAAAATATTTTAAATTGTAATAATAAATGTAAATTGTTTGAAATAACAAAAAAAAATGGAGAATTAAACTGTTTTTGCTATCGGAATTTGGTGATCTGATTTATCGTTAATTTGAGAGGTCACTTTTGATTGTTCCTTAACTTATTCGCTGTATACTTGTTTGCAAGATCGATTTTTTTTCCAATTTGTATTTAAAAACGTAACGTTTTGTACACGGATTTGGTAATTCTTGTTTACAAGTTTTTAAAGTAGAGACACAATTTTTTTCAGAGTCCATATACATTTGAGCATTTAAAATACACTGAACGAAATGTGAAGGCTACCGATCGATTCGCCAGTTACGAAGCAAACGAAAAAAATATTTGATTGTTCCTTTTTCCCCCTTTTTCGATAATTGATCATTTTTCTTGAAGCATATTGAATTTTTAAATTTTTTGTAAACTTGTTCGATAAAATTTTTCTTACATCTTTGCATTTGAAGTCATCAAAATTTTAAACATTGAATAGTAATTTATATTTTTTTTTTCGTTTTGAAATGTATTCTGATAAATTTCGAAACAATACATTTTTCTCGTTTTTTGCCAAAATAATAATAATAATAATTGTATTAGTCTATTGGTTTAAGTTTTCAACGAAAAAAAAAAAACGAAAGAACAATCTTATGTATGCATTTATAATGACCGTATTTTTCTAATTTGCAGAAAACTTTTCGTTGGTGGTTTGAGCTGGGAGACAACAGAAAGTAAGCATTTAACATTTTTTTCAACTTTTCTCTTTCTATGCATGGACAATACTAACGATTTTTTTTTGTGTTTTTTTTTTTTTTTTACAGAGGAATTGCGCGAACATTTTGGCCAATACGGTGAAATCGAAAGTATCAACGTTAAGACAGATCCACAAACAGGTCGTTCACGCGGCTTTGCATTCATTGTGTACACATCGCCTGAGGCGATTGAAAAAGTGACGGCCGTTGCCGAGCATGTGATTAACAACAAAAAGGTTGATCCCAAAAAAGCAAAGGCTCGTCATGGCAAAATTTTTGTTGGTGGTCTAACATCCGAAATTAGTGACGAAGAAATCAAAACATTCTTCGGACAATTTGGCAATGTAAGTTTTAAAGACATTTGAAGAAGAAAAAAAACCATCAAAACTCTCGCTTGAAATAGATAGTAGAATAATTTAAATTTAAAAAAACGCCCAAATATCTTTGCTGCTTAGATTGTTGAAGTCGAAATGCCATTCGACAAACAAAAGAATCAACGCAAAGCATTCTGCTTCATTACTTTTGATTCCGAACAAGTCGTAAACGAATTGTTGAAGACACCGAAACAGACGATCTCTGGCAAAGAAGTCGATGTGAAAAAAGCTACACCCAAACCAGACAACGTGCCGGGACAATTCGGTGTTGGTGGCTCACGTGGCGGTCCACGTGGCCGACAAGTTCGCGGTAAGTTCAAAGTGCTTGGAATTTTTCTGATGTCATTTAAAAAATGACCCAACATAATATGACATAAAATATTTGATATATTTGTATTTTTAGGTGGATTCGGTGGTCCAAAAGGATGGAATCAAAGTTACGGATATGGTGGTCAAGGTAGCTCATACTATGGACCAAACTATGATGGTTCGTTATCTAAATTGTTTTGTTGAAAAGAAAAAAAAAACACACACACACACACACACACACACAAAAAACAGTATCAAAGGCTCATTTATTAATATATTGTTACTTTGATTGGTTATTCAATATAGGTTATGCTGGCTACGCCGATTATTACAGCGGTGGCTACGGAGCCGGCAGCTATGGCGCGGGTTACCAAGATTACTACTCGGGGAACTATGGTAAGCCTTATTATAAGAGCAATAACTATCATCAGAACAACCACTAAACTATACGTTTGAGTAACCGTAAAAGCAATGCGAGAATTAAAAGAAAAAAACAAAAATATTTATAAAAAAAATCTAAAAAAAGTATAAAATAAAAATAAAATAAATAAATGTTAGTAAAGTTGTGAGGCGACGGAGAGACGAATAAATTGTGCTTGGTTGACGAGTGAATATATTTTATGTTGTCTTGAGAATCACAAATAACATACATAAAAAGGCTTTTCCATTTTCTTTAAAAAAATAAAAATAAAATAATAAACCGTACATGTTCGATTAATTGTGCTGCCGTTCCAACTCAAACAAAAACTTAGTCCTCCTTGTATTGCAGTAACCGAAACAGAATTTTCATTTAAAACAAAAAGAATACACACACACAAAAAAACTCGGACAACTCATAGAATATATTCGCATTGAAATATACCTCATTTTAAAGACTGTTACCAAATATTATAACACTAATCAAAAACAAAAGGAAACGTAGATGGAAATAAGTGAATGTATGAAAAATGAAAATGAAGGGATTTTGAAAGGATATTTTTTAAAGTTTACGTACTAATTACTATATAGTATGAAATGATAAATGAGCTCGCTGATTTTTATTTTGCAATACATTAGATAGTAAATGCATTTAATATAAAAGAGCAACTATATATCTAGTGAAAGAGAACGACGACGGCGACGACGAAGAAAAAAAGAAATGATGAAAAAAAGCTCCATGAACAAAATGCGAATCATCATCAATGTCGCAAACGAAATGTCAATCACAATTTTTTTTTTTTCGATCAAAGTGTTTTGACTAAAAACGCTTTTTAGTTACTTTGTTATTCAAGCATTTATCATTCCGATTGATTACCGAATTTAAATTACTTTCAATTCATTGGGCTCCGATTCGATGAATTTTTTTCTTTCTTTCCTTATTTTTCCAATCCAATTACAAACGATTCATTCAAATTAAACGAATATCCCCAAAAAATTGGAAACGTTTTTCGAATACCATGAAAACAAATGCTCACTTAAAAAATCTTCAATCGGAATATAGAACACGATTATAAGCAAATGGCATAGAGAGAATTGAGAATATAAAAGAGACAAGATCTATATAAATAAGAGCAGAATCAAATGAGTCGAGAGTATATCAAAAGAATATTGAGTCGAAAATGAATGTTAACTCATCATTTTTATCGTGTGTAATATCGCTATGCCATATAGAGTTATCGTACAATTTTTTTTAGTCAATAAGTGTAACACGGTATGATATAGCGGTGCCTTTTGAAAATGGCTTAACTAATCAGTGGCCCAATCCCACCCCTTGACTAATTATATACCATAAGAATGTATTTTTGTATGTATATTCATTAAGCCAGCGATTGTGCGTGTGTGTGTGTGTGCTGTCTGTTTTGAAAATCGTTCACAAGATGCACATACACACACACACAAAATGCGCATAATCTGGTATACAAAATGCACTTATTTTCCTTATTCGGTTAACATATTATCCAAAAACGAGCTCATTCGATCGATGCGCGCGGCAATACATGAATTCTTCCTTTTAGTAATATATCTTGCATCCAAATCAATTGAAACTAATTGAAGAAGCGCTTTTCAGCAACAATTTACACACAGCCATTACACTAAGTTGCCCATATAAAATGCGAATAGAAAAGAAGAGCCATAACCGAATCAATACTACGTACGTTTGAGTTATATAGAAATAAAAAAAAAAAAAACAAAAAACATCCTATCTGCATTATAGCGGATTTCATTTTTGGTATTTCGGTCTTTAAAAAAACAGCAATGCATGCAGAAATGAAATTTCAAATAAAAAAACATGAAAACAAAATTATGAAATGAATGGTATGCGCAAATGCTCGCACAAATACAAAATTTTCAGTCCATATATAAATTAAATGTTAAATAATATGATGAGGATACTTTAGAAGGAGGTTAAGAAAATACCTAGCACAAATCAGAATAAATAGGCTCTTAAACATAAAATAGTATAGGAAAAATTGATCACAAATGAGATCAGTAATGAGATGCAGCAATCAATAATCGGATGCAATAGAACCAACACCAACTCAACAAAACAATATACATCAAAATCAAAATGTTAAAATAACTTTTTTCTTTCTTTGTAAACAAAACAAAAAAAAAACCACAACAAATAATTAACTACTCGTAGCAGCAACAACAACCACAATATAAACAAAACACAAATTACGTTTATCATTTAAGACAACAAAAAAAAAAACAGAAGAAAATATTTATTTATATACATGAATAAGTAATTTTTTCCAATAAGGAGTCAAGTTTTCTTTTGAAACACACATACACACACATTTATATACATATAAACAAACACAGCAGTAATAGCGAAAGAAAAGAAGACGTTTTTTTCTTTTGACATTTCACACAACTACAAATAATTGTAGTGAAAATAAAACAAAAGAGAGAGAGAGAGCGAGAGATTCTGCATGTTTCCAATGTTTATTTCTTCAATTGTCATTATTTTGGGTTTTTTTTTTTCGTTTTATTTGTTGAAAAAAAATGTAATAATTTTTTTTTGTCATTTTTGCAAAAAATTTGGTTTGTGATACCGAATTATTTCCTTTAAATGCAACGACACATCACGTGTAAGCCATTATTAATCACAATCGACACCAAAATCTTCTTTTTACGAGTTGTTTTTTTCTTCTATGAACGATTTTTGTTTGATATCAATAACAGCAAAGGATTAATTGTTTGAACATCAAAACATCCCTTTGTTTTTTTTTCATTAGTTTGGCGATGCGCGATTGCATTGCGTTTTAACTTTTAATTTACATAATTTTCATTTTTGTTGTTTTTTTTAAATTGTTGTTCACGATGATAACTGCTTGAATGCAACGAATTAAATAGTTCAACTTTAAATTAAATTAAATTTACATACAAAATCTAATTGAAATTTACCAAAAAAAGAAAAAATACGGGAGAAAAACTATTTTGTAATAAAGAATGAAATTAAGAACAAGCGCCTACCTAAACTTACCATTTTAAATATCGTCTTTTTTTGATGATCGATTTTGCACGATCGTTTATAACGTAACAAACACACATACACACATACACTCACTCATTCGGTAAATCGGTCGATGCATTTAATTGAAAAAATAAGGTAAAATAATAGATATATGGAAATACATTGTGAAACATGGCAAATGAAAAGAAAACTGATTACAAACAACAAAAGAAGCAAAAGAACGAAATGAACATATTTTGTAAACAAAAAAAAAAGAATTCTAAATAAAAAGCAATGTGTTTCTCATATATTTATTTTTATTTTTCCTTATTTTTTTTCCTCCTTTCTAGCCTAGGTGAGCGCGCGTTGGTTCTTTTTATTTGTTCGTTTGTTATTTTCCTCGTGTGTGTGACCACTGATCGCGAGTATGGATTTTATTTGCATCTTCTCACTATTGTCTATTTTCTACGATATAAAGAATATCCCTGAATTCATCCATCAATGCAGTTTGTTTAGTACTGTATTGGTCAGTCATTTTTCAGGAAAAGTAATTTCAAGTTTTTTTATCAAAGCACATCAATGAATTAAATATTGATTTGCTCAAGCAAAAACTTACAGTCGAAATGAAAGAATTTCTTTTTTGTTCGTGGAAAATACTCAGTAGCGCGATGGTTGCATTTTTAACAAGATTTAAATCTGTAACCATGTGGATGTTTGCAATAGAATCACGGTTAATGTTCATTATTTTCGACGTAAAAACCCACCTTATTGGTATTCAGTATGTATTTAAAAATCTTCCATTGTGGTATCGAGAGAGTATTCTGTGAAAAGTCTATGGATTTTATCACGCAGGTTATATTCTTTGTTGAGTATTTTCTATGCAAAAAAAATTGTTGGCCCTGAATTCATCCATCAGCATGCGTCTATCGGATACGATGTTGATCAGTCATTTTTCAGGAAAAGAAAATTGGGTTTTTCATCAAAGCAAATCGACGAACTACATATTGATTTGCCCAAGCCAAAACTTACAATTTAAAAAAAAACGAACAATTTTTTTCTTAGAAAATATTTAGGTAAAGAAACCTAATCAGGGGCATCTTTAGACCGAACATTTCGCATTGAAATCTGTTTGATTGTCTTCTACATATTAGTATTTTCATTTGAATTCATCCATCAGCATTTGTGTTGTTCAAAAAAATTGTATATTGCATAAGGTCGTGTTATAGAGTTTTCATCATTTAAACATTGAAATTGTCCCCACACATAAAAATACTGCATTGTAAAATTGACCAATAATGAATTGCTAGCACGCGGGTTCGCTGTTGAGTATTTTCTACAAAAATCAAATCCTGAATTCATCCATCAGCATGCGTCTATCGAATACGATGTTGATCAGTCATTTTTCAGGAAAAGAAAATTTCTGTTTTTTTATCAAAGCAAATTGATGAACCACCATATTAATTTGCTTCTAAAGCCAAAACATACAAAATTTCTTCACTTTTTTTCTTATTCATTCCCGTGGAAAATGCTCAGGGCAAACAAATCGAATGAAATTTACTAAGAAAATCGGTAGAGAAAAAAACCAATATCATTTAGTAGAATAATTTAAGACTGAAAAAAATCTTATGACGCTACAAAAAAAAAACCGATAGAAAGAAAGAAAAAAGCAATCGACTATAAACAAATCAAATATTCTGTATTCAAGACTATGGATATGGAGGTGCTGACTACACAAACTATGGCGGCAGCCGACAAGGACGTGGAATGGGTAAAGGTACACATTGCAGTTTCCATTCATTCTTCATTTGAATTGAGTGGACGATTGACTGATTTCGTCTTCGCTAATTGAGATACATGTATAATCAAATTGTGGGCACTGTCACACCCACGTCTATTATTCAATATCAGTCAATTTCTACTCGTGTTGTCTCTTGTTACTTTTCACATAAAAGCACTAATTTATTTATATCAACATATATTGTATGCGCTTTTTGTAAAATCATTTCCTATCCCGTCATAGAGTTCAAACAAACAAAACTAGCTTCAGCACATATATTTGAAAATCAAACCAAAAAAAAATTACTCTCAAAATTCTCTTTCGATGCATATATAAAACGTAATCAACTTTATGAACAAAAACAATACAAATGCTATCCATATTGGCAATTTCAATTCTAAAATAAATCAAAACAAAATCATAAACATATATATCATTTTATTCTGGCCACTGAATTTAGAATGGCACAATAGTTTTCTTTTGATTGAAATAACAAATGTATTGCAATTAGATACGCATCAAATAGTTTAATAATTTACTATTATAGAATATTGCCAGTGCATGATTGAATTTAGTAAACATGACCGATAAATGACATCCGAAACATTATGATTAGAACAAAATTCCATGTTTGGCTTTATACTGTTAACCGAATTAAAACAAAAACAATTTCATACGAAAATGTGAAACTAAACGAAAAGATAGACTAGGTAAACAAAAAATATTCCTTGTTCGGGATAAACTGTAGAAAAGATGCTCGACTCTTTCCATATTCTTAGTATAACTTTGATTGTTAACTATTCACTCACAATATTTCTCTTTCGATTGAATTGTTGCGATTCTGATGGTTTATTTTATTTTATTTTTTTCTTTGTTTCTTATCAAATAGGTGGAAACTACCAGGGAGGCAAACAACAGAGAGGCGGCGGTGGCCGACAGCCACGACATCAACCATACTAAACAAAATTTTAAATTAGCATAACAGAAGTACACACACACACACACACACACACAAGCATTAAATGAAAATATTACAAAAAGAAACATTAATAATAACGATAATAAACAAACAAAAACAAAATGAAAATAAATACATTGCATACAAAAAGTTTGTTCATAGGGATACAAATGAATCAAAGGTAAAAAAGAAAAGGAGTGAAACAGAAAGAGATAACATTAATTGAATCTTAACTAAATGTTTAGTGCGAACAAAACGCGAAACTAAATTCAATTTTCAATATGACAAAATACGAAATAAAAATAACAATAGAAGTTTAAACAAAAGAGAGAAAAAACTACATTTTTTTCACCTAGATTTTTTTTCTACTCATTACATCTTTTTTTCTCGCTCTGATATAGATTCTAGATTTTAAGTTATACATTCAACAAAAAAAAAATTTCCATTAGAAAAAACTCTTCTCTTTTTTCGTTTTGTTAATGAAGAATAAACATATTATTTTATATCTCTAAGTTTTGTATTACAAACTACAACAACAAACAAAAAAAACAACAAGAAAATAAGAAATCATTCAGCTGATAACAAATAAAAATAAGATGTTTTATTTATATATATAAATTGAAATTGAATAACAATGATATTGCTCATAGTGTTCCTTTTTTTTAGAAAATTATCGGCCATCGTTTTAAATGGAAATAATCACATCCACAAATCAATTCGATCCCATTCTGGTTTTATTTCTCTTCTGTCTGTTTCATTCTATTTCTTTGGTCTTTTTTTCAAAACGTTACATTGACTTCCAATTTTATGAGGGGGAGAGAGAGAAAAAGAAAACTTTAAATCGTGTGCGATTTACACTTTTTTTAAGAATATTTAAAATCTGAACATATAAAAAATCTGTTATTATTGTCGTCCTCCACACATCATTCCATTTCACTGTATTTATTTCACACAATAAAAATTGAAATTACAATTAAATGGTAGCAAATTTTCAATTCAAACACACATTTACGTCAAAACAATGCTAAACGATTTTTATTTGTAACTCTTTGCAGTCGGAGCATAGCTCAGATCTGATGGTCGCGTCCCAAGGAGGGTAATTTCGAAAATCTAGACTAAAACTATGGATTCATATAGGAGACACAAAACAATGCAAGGAATGCTTTTCCTTGCTCAAAAACTTTTTACATTTCATACATAATAGTCCCCATCCAGATGCAACAAAATTTTTTAACTGTCCACCAACTGTAATGCGAATGTTTGATTTGCCAAATATGCCAGATGAAGCACTGAATGTAAATAGAACTTTTATTATTGACAAACTCAATTGTTCAAAATATATTTAATTCTTCTACTTTTTCATTAGATCGCTGCCAATATAAAATAAAGAGGCTTACGTACGCAAGCTGACTTTTCCGCATGGAACCGAAATTTTGGGAATAAACAGAAATGATGGTCTATGTATGGTTGCAGTAACTTAAATTACCGTGAAAACTTGTGAATATTATTTTCTTATCAAAATGAATAATCATACTAAGTCTAAAGAAATTTCAATCCAAAAAATTGCCTGTTCAAAGTTTCACATCATTACAGTACCACAAAGGCAAGTCTTTCATACAAAAATGAATTTTTTTTTTTCGATTTTTGTATGAAAAGTCTGTGAAAAATTGATTGCATCTTAAAACTAACATCAGATTCGGGTTTCTCGTGCCAAAAAACTCCCACTACACAGTCTTTCAGCGTTCAAATTGAAAGAATATCATTTTAAGGCATTTTTCTCATAAGTGCCTCTTCACAGTCTAAGTTTTACATCGATCAATCAATGTCGTTGAAAATTTGACCAGATCTATTCCTCGTAACGCCCAATCATCCCGTAAAGTCAGATTTTGAGTTTCTGGAAAAAGATTTATCGAGTTAACAAATTTTGGCAACACGCCACAGGACACAGGACACATCACACACAGCGACGCACATTAATATGTCCCAAAATCATCTCCAATCGTGTTTTCTACATTAAATATGCATAGAAAACATGTTTTGGGATGACTTTAATTTTTTGGCCTAATACAATACCTTCCCTACACTAGGTGTGCGGAAAAGTAATAAAAGGACATGTTTTGTCAACATAAATCAACAATTATTTTATGTGATTTACTTTTCAACAATGGCAAAAAAAATTGCAGTTTAGAAGATGTGATGACTTCATGATCACATCTTCTAAACTGCATTAATTTTGACGCTTGTTGTAAATTGGTTTGAATTCAATATGAGTCCTTTTTGATAGTGCCAAATTCAATAATTGTATGTTAATAGTGTTATTCCATATATCTTAAGCGTACGACAAATGATCTTGTGTATTCTAACAAGATCATCTATCGTACGCCTTGGAGACATGGAACAAATCAGTTAAGGCACATTAACTCTCGCTATTAATTTCTTGTGTATGAACGCAATTAACCTGAACCAACGATGAACATTTTGCATCATTATATATTATTTTAATTGCATTATCGGATTGTGGTTAGTATATTCTGATATACCAAAAATTGTGGTAAGTATAGCTGGAACAATTCATCTCTATTTTATTATTGTAGTTATTCTTTTCTTCACCTAAAAGAAGAGAATAAGAAAAAGTTTAAACAAATCCTCCCACCAGCTGAAGACGCGGATAACTGAACGAAGTACAACATCGAAAAAAAAAATTGTAAATATTATGTCATAGAATGTATATTCTTCAATTTCATCTTGAAATGATATGTTTTTCATGAAACTGCAATAAAACCAATTTTACTGGGCGTTCGGTATCATGGGCACCCAAAATCGAGTGTTTCTTTTTTTAATCAATGAGAAAATCTAATGAAAACAGAAAAAAAGTTTTGTACTATTGTGGACAAAAAATACCGGTAATTTATTAATAAAATGAAAACTCTTTATTTATTCTTCAAAATCGATTTGGTCGCCTTCAAAGTAATCCCCCCCGGCTGCAATGCACATACACCAACGTTTTTTCCAGTCTTCGAAACAGTGTGTGAAGTCACTTTCTGGTATAGCGTTCAATGCATGCAGAACTTTTTGTTTAATCTCTTCTATCGTCTCGAAACGGTGTCCACGAAACGGTCTTTTGAGCCGAGAGAATAGCCAGAAGTCACACGGTGCTAAATCAGGCGAATACGGTGGCTGTGGAACGATATTAGTTGAATTTTTGGCGAAATGATCTCGAATAACCAATGCAGTGTGATCCGATGCATTATAGTGATGCAAAAACCAAGAGTTGTCTAACCATAAATCCGGCCGCTTTTGGTGAATAGCATTACGCAAACGACGCATTACATCCAAATTATACTCCTTGTTAACAGTTTGGCCGGTTGGAAGAAATTCATAGTGCACTACGCCACGATAATCGAAGAAAACTGTTAACAACACTGCTGTGTCGTGGTCATAGGCATAGATCCAAGTCTCATCCCCCGTAATGATGCATTTCATGGCCGATTGATAGTCAGAAATCATTTCTTGGCACACATTAACACGTCTCTCTTTTTCAAAGAAATTCAATGATTTTGGAACTAATCGAGTAGCACAACGTCTGAGGCCTAAATGGTCTTTCAAAATTGTTTGAATTGATCCTTTTGAAATGCCAACAATATCGACAAGGTCTCTAGACGTTAATCGAGGATTTTTGAGCACAAGATCTTTGATTTGCTTGACGTGTTTCTCATCAGTTGATGTTGATGGTCTTCCCGGCCGATGTTCGTCTTCAACACGTTCTCTGCCTTCTTTGAACTGTTTGTACCACTTATACACCCTATTTTGTGACATGGCCTGTTCACCGAAGGCCTTCTCCAACATCCTTAACGTTTCTGCAGCAGAAATTTCATTCCGCATACAAAATTTAATGCAATATCTTTGTTCCAAATGTTCTGTCATTATGAAAATCGCCAAATGAAAATTTATCGGTGCAAACAAAAGATGTCAAAGACAGTGCTACCAACCTATAGTCGGAACTCGGAAGGTTTTCATGATTACTTTTCCGCGCGAAATTTTAATAATAAATTACCGGTATTTTTTGTCCACAATAGTAAAATGAACATTTCCAAATGAATGCCATAATTTTGTGCACTAAATTTGTAATAATGAAAATTTCAAAAAAGGAGCCAAATCAAAAATTTATTTCGCAGACAATAAAACACATGTAGAACGAGAAGATACGAAACAGAAAAGAGGTAATGACATAGCTCACAAACGAATACATGTATGCGTATCGGATACGTTTGCCGCCATTTTTTCCTTCAGATGTATATCTATTGTTTGTCGCCGGTATACCCTGTCATACAAATCTTTGTGTTAATGAAATGTTCAGCAAGCACTGGTTCATCACTACACTAACTGATATTGTGCGAATGTACATGTGTTTGTCGTAAGAAGTAAATGTGCATACAACATACGTTGCGCCTTTGTTTTGGTGCATATGCCATACAAATGAATTTATACATCGTGCCTGAATTTGTAGTCATTTGTTGAATTATATTCCATGTTGTTTACGATATTTAGAACAAATGAATATCGTTGCAATCAAATATGAACATATATTCCATTCGAATCCGTTAAAATGCTGATATAGTAGTAGCACAAAATTCATACTCCATTTGACGTATGTTGTTGTATGTTGAATAAGGCTTTCATTTCTGAATATTGTTTGCAAGTTGAATGTCGTCACTTTTAATATCGTATTTCAACATGGTCAGGCACCAGCTTTATCATTTTGCTTATCATATAAAAAAATGTTAGAAGACAACAGAAAAGTGGACCCCGAACTTCATCTTCAAAAAACTATATGAAAATATGGAATTGTGTTATAGTTCCGATTTTACTGCAATAAACGATGTTGCTTACGTCAATCGCTGTATCTTGGATATTTAAAAAATAACACATTCTCATGGTACGTGCTTTGTTTGTAAATCAGTACTTTCAGTGCTTCTCTCAGAAGATCGACATCGGTTTGACTCTTGTTCATAATGTGAACGAGATTTTTTAAATCATATTCAACACTTATAAAATTTAAGGATTCCGGTTTCAGCAATTTCTGTTTAAAGTGCTGCTTGAAAGAATCATAATTGGCTATGGCATACTCTGCCTTACTTCGAGCCTCTTGATAGTTTTTAACGCACAACTCCTCACCCGAGTACAAATACCGAATTTGTTTACATGAATTTAGAATTTCGAATAAGTGTGAATAAAGAAAAGCCGCATTACACCCTCCATTCCAAAAGTTCCGGAACTTTTTATAAATAAAAACACCAAGTGTACATTTTGAGATAAATTCTTTTTATTAATCAATATACTCTCCATTCGCTTCGATACACTTATTTGCACGTTCAATCAATTTGTCAAATGATTCGGAAATGGCCTTTGTAGGAACCTTCATTAAGATGTCGGTGACAGCTTTTTGTATGTGTTCAATTGATAAATTTCTCTTTCCTTTCATCTTTAAATGGAGTTGTGGAAACAGGGTGCGAGATCAGGATGAATACGGCGAGTGGTGCAACGTAACTACGTGTTTTTGTGACTCTTCACTTTTGACTTCTCCAAATGACTTTTCGTGGGATGGCCTTCATCTGGTCGTCTCCATTCATGTGGAGCACTTTCAATGATGTCTTTGCAATGTTCAATTAGATCCATTTTTTGATCATCGGTGAGTTTGTGTGGCAAAAATCGTGAATTCACTTTACGAAGTCCCAATTCTTCAGTCAAAATGCGAAAAACAGTAGTTGCGGGAATCCCCAATTCCATTTCAATTAATTTCACTGAACATTTCTCATTATTCTTGATGAATTCGCGCACTTTTTTAATGTTTTTTGCGGATATTCCACTTTTTGGGCGACCTGATCTTTTGTCATCATTTAGCGTTTCTCTACCCGATTTAAATCGTTTAAACCACTCGTGAACTCGCGAGCGGGATAGACAATCACGACCATATGCTTGTTGGAGCATTTGGTGCGTTTTGGTAAAAGTTTTACCGAGTTTAACACAAGACTCAATTGCAGCTCTTTGTTTGAAATCCATTTTGTCACCGAGAGCAAAAGATACTAAGAAATATGACGACAATATCTTGACATGTTTACATCCGATCTTCGCGAAACTTTCACACAATGTCAATGAGAACTCCCTCTTTTTAACGCATATCCAGTAGTAGGCGCCACTGATATCTATTATTTTTTAAATGTTCCGGAACTTTTGGAATGGAAGGTGTATTGACAATTTCCACAAGTTTTATATTTAAAAAGGAAAACTTAAGGAATTCTATTCAAAATCATCATTTTTTCTAGATAACGAAATTTTCAAAATAACTGAATTGATTATTTTGTTGTTCATCATTGAAATGGTGAAAATAAAAGTCTATGTGACAATATGTTGAATACAAATACACCATAACTTTGAGCTGTCAAACCGTGTCAAAGAGACACCGACTGAATATCAAAAGAAAAATAGTGTCTTGAACTTCCTTTAGTGCAATTAACTTTCCAATTATGAAATCGGCATTGCTGTGTAAAAAGTTTATGGTAATTTTTTATTGAAATTTGCACAATTCTTATTACTCGTCATTTATTTTAACATATTTTCTCAACAGAATTTAGGCATAAACAGACAATTTCATACAACATGTAGGAATATGTTTGGTTTGGTGCCAATTGTGATCGAACAAACGGGTCGAGGGGAACGTTCATACGATATTTTCTCACGTTTGCTCAAAGAACGTATCATTTGCTTAATGGGTGGCATCAATGATAGCATTAGTTCATTGATTGTGGCACAATTATTATTTTTGCAGGTGAAAAAGCAAAATCCTCATTGTGGTCGAACGTTACTTGATATGTTTTTGTCTCTATTTTTTTCTTTGTATACGAAATAGTCGGAAAGCAGTTCAAAACCAATTCATATGTATATCAATTCGCCTGGTGGCAGTGTTACTGCTGGCATGGCCATTTATGATACCATGCAGTACGTGAAACCACCGATCGCAACATGGTAAATAAAAACAAATTCGAACGAAGAAGAAAGAACTTTGTCACATTGAATTTTTTTTAGGTGTGTTGGACAAGCAGCTTCCATGGGATCATTGTTACTTGCAGCCGGCGAAGCTGGTATGCGTCATTCGTTACCAAATTCACGGATCATGATTCATCAACCGTCTGGCGGTGCTCAAGTAAGTTAAACATTTTGATTCACCGAAACCGATTTTATTACAAAAATACTAAATATTTGTGTGTCATTTTAGGGTCAAGCGACTGATATTCAAATTCAAGCCGAGGAGATCATTCGAATGAAAAAAGCACTCACGGAAATTTACTCGAAACACACAAAACGGCCATACGATGAACTGTACAATTATATGGAACGTGATAAATTCCTAACACCCGAGGAAGCAAAAGAATTGGGACTCATTGATAGTGTTTTGACACATCCACCAACCGAAAATAATTAGAATATCGGTCACAATTCACATTATTATGTATTTTTAGATAAATATGAATAAAATTCAAATGTTCAAAGAATATTTCTTGTTATTGATGTCTTTTTGGTAACAGAAATAATTTTGTTAATAGGGTTACGGGTGAAATTGTTCGTATCATGACTTTTTCTGAAAAAAAAAAAAAAATAACGTCAATGTAAAATAAACACTTTTAGTACATCTCGCAAACTCGTTTTATTTATAAAATCTGCGTATATTCTTTCATTTTTGTTCAAATTCGCATAACAAAAAAAAAGAATTTATTAAAAATGAAACAAACTCAAATAATTTGAAACAAAGCAAAAAAATGGTATGAAACCGTCTGAAGTTTTCTAAATCTACCAATCATATTTTAGTACATCTCGATATGAGGGCGCTGCATGTCATGCAGCTGTCTATTCAACCGATGTTCATTTGAAAATCCAAATTTTGACGCGGAGTCAGTAACTGAAAAACGCTAACGCAGAGTATACTTATGTATTGTGTGAAGTGTAAGACAAAAGGACTTATATAAACAATTAATTTGCGCAACAAACGAAACACAACAATTGTTTGGAAACAATGTTTCCATTATCAAACGGTAGATTAATTCGATTAAATCGAGATGGATCGAATGGCGAAATTATTCAATCGAATAAAACAAAAATGATTTTTGGTACATCAATACTTTCTGATCATCACATCAAAGACATCGATCCGACAAAAGAAGTGTCCTGTGAAATTTCAACAGACGAATATGGTCGGGTAAGTGAAAGCGAAAAAATCCAATGAGTTTGTGCAAAAAAAATGAAAAGATTTGGAAATACATTTTTTACGTATCAACTATATATTGTAATTGTGTATTGTGTTTTCGCGCTCAAAACATGTTCGTGCATGTTTTTGATACGTTCCTTTTATAGGTTTCTATTGCAAACAAATCAACGAATGAGATTTTTGTCAACGACAAACCAATCACATCTGTGCGTCCACTTTTCAACAATAGCATCATCAAAATATGCGACGGTGTCGAATTTCGATGGATTTTTAAGCAAGCTAAAGAAAATATTGGTGGTGATTTGAATGGTTTGTAGTGTTTATATTTAATTCTAAAGCATTTTTTTATATTCTATATCAAAATTGTTTATTGATTTATAGAAGCTGATTTTGCATCATGGTCGGATCCAGCTAAAAAGGTAGAATTTTCGATGACATTTTGATATGAATGAAAATAATAATGATTTTTTTTTGTTCACATTTTTCAGAATATGAAATTGTCGCGAATGCCAAAGCAACGACCAAAGGGACGACTCACAGCTCATCCGTAAGTAAAATTTTATATTCTTCTTTTATCAATTCAATTTGTTCATTCGTTGTTGACAACGCGGTACTGTTATATTTTGAAACGTTTCAAAATGCTCAATTGTATTAAAATATGTGTTTTTGTTTGATGGTTTGTTCATAGAATTAACTTGTATTCGACGGCTATTGAAGAGGCAAGTGAAAAAAGTGTACTATCTACAGATGTTGGTAACGAGAGCACCGGTTGTTCCGTTATTGCAACAGAGTTAAACGATTCTGTGTTCATGCCTAAGTCGACTGATCAAGCGTCAACGACAGTCATCACACAGTTGATTGATGTGACACAGGAACTAATAAACCTTGACGAAACACAGAATGAACCGAATGTGTCGACATCAGTTGAAAATACAACAGTGACCAAAACGGACGCGAATTTGTCACATGATTTATTGGAGTTTGAAACGCCATCGAAAAAATCGACCGAATATAATATCAGTATGGTTAAGTCACAGCCGAGTAATTGCTCGGTGATAACATTGAGCAGTGAAGGATCACAAGAGGCTGGTCCACAAGAAATGCACAACAAAAGTGTTGGATACGATGACGAAGACCTGTTTGAACGATCCATTTCATGTCCGCCACTCGAATTGCCGGAGGATATATTTGAATTCGATGCCAGCAATACAAACATTGCTGAAATCATAAGCCTTCATGCTACATCATCCGATTTGGATGCAGAGAAAGAAGGTAATTTTTTGTTTAGAGATAAGTTAAGTTTCTTCACAAGGCGATCATATTTAATTTGATTTATGTTTCACTTAGGTGACTGTACCAACGAAGCCAACAACGGAACGCTGCACATTCAAAGTGAGATCAAAACAAAGAAAATTTCGGAGCAAGATACGTCGATGGAACAGTTATCTTCGAATGATATTGACAACGACATTTTTGTTCCTGAAACACAAGAGGTGTATTCACAGGACAGTGAAACATCGAATGCATCTTACAGCAATGTCGAGAAAAGTGATTATTCATTTGAACAAGAGAACGTTATGATGGAAACCGTTATACCAAACACCGAAACGAGTCAGTCACGAGAAGATGAATCGGTTGCAAATACTGGCAACAATGAACAACACAATGGTTCGCTGGTTGAATCAACGACCGAGAACACTACAGTTTTGAACGGAGCTGAAGCTTCCAAGACTCCGACTAAACAGTATGGTAAGTAATCTCAGTATGCAGATTTTGTTGGGTGTGGAATTTCGAATAAAAAAAAAATATATTTTTTGTCCTTAGACTTGGATGAAAGTGAGGTGCCGGAAGTCGAACAAGCTAATACTTTCAATCAATCGGAAACAATATTTTCACAAAGTTTATTTGCCGACATGAATGAAAGTGAGACAGAAGCAAAACTGCACACACAAATTAGCGAATCGCCTGATTTGACAAATACACTTCAAGAGTTTGTTGAAGAGAACGTTATTCAAAACGAAAATGAACAAAATGTCACGGTGGAGCAAAACACAGTCATTGAACAGTGTTCAGAGACAAAAACCAATTCGGAAACAATTGAATCGGCCACTGACACAAATGTTCAAGAAGATCACATAGATATGGTTCCAGTTGCCACAAGCTCAAACATTAGCGATTGTCTTAGCACAGACACAACACAAGAATTGAATTTGATGGCGTTCAATAGTGATTTGAGTCTTCAACAAGATGACACAATGGACAAGTTGGAATTCTTTTCATCGGATTCGATGAGTGAATCAAATGACTCGGGAAATATCACCGCTTCAGCTACGAACACAACGAGCAATGTATCGTCGGAATCAAGCCAAACGAAAAGTACATCGGTGAAACTAACAGAAGAAGTATCAATGGCAGAAATTGAAATAATTCAAAAACCATTGAAATCAAATCGACCCATTGACATTTCAAGTAATGAACTATCAACAACGATTGGTTCGGGCGAAATGGACGAGAGCCCAAGCAGTGAACAAGAGGCAACGATTGATGAATTTGAAGCAATGGAATGCGATAATTCCCAGGAAGAAAATGAACTGCTTGAAACCAACGAAGCACAACACCAAGACACCAGTAATGTTAGTTCAACACCCGTTAAAATTCAGGCAATTTGCGAATTGGTTCAATCACATGATATTGAATCTATTTCATTGCCAACTGAAGAGGTTGTGACAGATGTTGACAATCAAGGTGAGAAGACAGAATTTTCACAAAACATGAACGAGACTGACTCATTATCTACACCAAAGTCGATTGTGAAACCAGATAAAAGTCGTGCTTTTACCATTCCGCGGTACACAAAACGTTCGCAACAAGTTTCTAAACTTGCCTCTGTCACACCAAAACGAACACCACGAAAGTTCAATGTTCCTGAGCAAGCAGAAAAGGTTATTCCTGAACAAAGTGAAGAGCAATCTTCTGAAGTGGCCGATTGCAGTACATTTGCTGTAGAAGAAAAGCAAACAGAATTGTCTTCATCCAATTATGAATCGCCAGAAGAACAAATTGAGATCAAAGCCACTGAAGAAGTGTCCGCCGTTTTTGCAACGCCAGCTAAAGTTGAAATAATTGCCAAAACTAGTTCAACCATAACTCGGTCATCAAGACGTCAACAACAAATTATCGATGTTGAAGCCATGACTCCAAAACATACACCACGAAAATTGAACATGAGTGTCAGTGTTACACAAACACCAGGCGAACCTGAAGTCGTGCAAGCCAGTGATAACATCTCCGAGGATGTTTTAGTCATAACATCTTCCGATGAACAAAACGAATTGGTTTTGAATAAAATTCAAATGGACATCAACACAGAGGCAACACAGTCCTCTGATGAAGCTGTTTTAGCTGTATCAACACCAACGGGAGAAATTGAGAATGTTGGTAACAATGACGTTCAAAGTATTTGTGATGCCGACTCATTATCTACACCAAAGTCGATTGTGAAGCCAGATGAAAGTCGTGCTTTTACCATTCCACGTTACAAAAAACGTTCACAACAAGTTTCCGAACTTGCATCTGTTACACCAAAACGAACACAGCGAAAGTTCAATGTTCCTGAACAAAGTGAGGAAAAATCTTCTGAATTGGCCGATTGCAGTACATTTGCTGTAGAAGAAAAGCAACACGAATTGTCTTCATCCAATTCTGAATCGTCAGAAGAACAAAGTGAGATCAAAGCCACCGAAGAAGTGTCCGCTGTTTTTGCAACACCAGCCAAAATTGAAATGGACGTGAAATCTAGTTCAACCATAACTCGGTCATCAAGACGTCAACAACAAAATATCGATGTTGAAGCCATGACTCCAAAACAAACACCACGAAAATTGAACATGAGTGTCAGTGTTACACAAACACCAG